AGATTGCATCTCCTAGAAATGTCAGAAGATACCCATAGCATCTCACCAACTCAGCTGCCTAAACAAGACTTGAGCAAAGATGAAATCAATAGACATGCTAACATGGATGAGAGAAATCTCATGGGGTCCCAAACCCTAGATAAAAAATAAAATAAAACCTCTACAAAAATGCTGAGTGGGAAAAATATTCTTCCTCAGGGAATTGGTTATTCAATACCAGCCCTGATATTCCTGATATCATATATATACAGATAATATTAAATGAACTGCTCAGGTTTGTGTGTGAAGAAAATAAATGGGATGGAATGGGAAAAATGATGTAATTATATTTAAATTTCAAGAAATAAAAAAATATTTTTAAATACTTATATAAGAACTCTGGCAGCTTTATAAGAGCTCTAAATGAGTTCCCACATTAATAAGATAAAAATAAATTGTGCCATAGCCACATAACAAAATATGATGTAGTGATAAAAAAAAACAATGAATGTTGATTTACTGTAGCTTAAATGAATAAAGGTATAACTGATTAGCATAGATCAGAAAGCATAAAAGGAAACTTGTGGGTGATTGAGGTGTTCTGTAACTTGACCAGGGAAATAGTTACATCCATGTAAACAAATGTGCAATTTCATTAAACCATACACTTAAGCTGTGCTTTCAGTGTTTGTATTATTTATCTGAAAGTTTCCTATTAAACCCATATGCAGGCTAGAGAGATGCTCCATGGGGTAAAGGTGCTGGCTACCAAGCCTGAAAAGCTTAGTTTAATCCTCAGGACCTGTATGGTTAAAGGAAAGAACCAACTTCCATAAATTATTCTCTGACCACTATGTGAACATCATGATAGCTGTGTGCTTGTGCACACATGTGCATGTACATACAGGCATTAAGTAAAATAAAAATGCAATGAAGGGTTTTAAATACCCATATGCCACAAACACAATTCAGATTTTTGTTGTTGTTATTTTAAGCCTTCATTGAATGAATTTGTGTTTGTTAATGCCGCATATAAGAGCATGGAGCTACTCTAGAAAGAAAAACACATCTTTTCATTCAGGTCTATTGTTATTTGCATGGGTCCCAAAGTATTAGATATCTTTAACTCCACTATTAAAGCAGCTGAATTTTATACTTAGAACCTTTTAGAAAGTTTGATTTATATTTATTTTCTTTTTTCTCTTGGTAACACATGATTTAGCCTAATCTTAGATATCTATCTCTCTCTCTCTCTCTCTCTCTCTCTCTCTCTCTCTCTCTCTCTCTCCTCTTGAGACAGTCTTTCTACATAGGCCAGGTTGGTTTAGAACCTGCTACAGAGCCCATATTGGCTTTGTGATTCTTCAGCTTTTCCCATCAAGTGCTAAGATTCTAATTTTCTTTCATTTACTAGCCCATAACTCAATTTGAATTTTTCCAATAATGTGATGCAGTCAAAACATGCTTATTGAGAATGTAGTATGTGTAACTCCAAATGTTACATGCACGGGTGTGTGTGTGTGTTTGTATATGTGTGTGTAGCCATTTGTATCAGAGGTTGTTGAATAGCCATCATTTTTCAACTCTTGTAAATTGGGGAGATGTTTGATTCTGCTGCCAGAGATCTCAAAATTCATTCTGTTTAGATAACTAAACTGTTCGTGAATTAGTACATTTAAAAATATGTGTAAACTCAATACAAGCACACTCACACATGCATGTGCATACACACACACACACACACACACACACATACACACACACACACACACGTACATCTGCCCTAAATCCTGCAACCCATGAATATCAATTTATATGGCTAAATGGAACTTATGAACAAAAGGGCTTTGCATATGTGATTAAACTAAAGATTAGGAGGCGGGGAAATCACCGTGTATTGCCTGGATAGGTGTCCCCTATAGTCCAAAAAAAAAAAAAAAAAAAAAAAAAAAAAAAAAAAAAGTAAGAAAGAAAGCGGAGCACAGGACACTATGATGTTGGAAGCAGAAGCTGGAGTGATGCTCTTTGAAGATGGAGGAGAGACCACAAACCAAGGAACATATATGGCCACTAGAAGCTTAAAAAAGGAAATATATTCTCACCTCTGGGCTTCCCAAAAGAACAAGCCCTACCAAAACGTGAATTTGAGCCCAGTAAGTTAGATTTCTAATTTCTGACCTCCACAATCTTCAGGGAAGATATTTGTATTGTCATTCAGTGCAAATTTTGTAGTAATTCACTATAGTGGCATTAGGAAATGAATGTAAAAATTGTAACTTATTCGTTTACTCTGAAAGGGTTATTTCCCTCAAAAACCTTTAGCAAATAAGTTGCCTCAGCGTGCAAATAATTTTCCATGAAAAGTGAAAAATTACTTCAGTGGATGTATTATTAGCAAACTATGTTATTAGCATATACAAACACCTTTGTGCCTTTCTATGGTGTCAGAATATATTGAGTGTTAATAGATTCACCTTTACCAAGTACTTATACTTTGCTTTGGAGTCATAATCATGGAAACATTCCATTCCATTCTGATAATATCTGGCACCTGAATGGTACATCACACTTCAATCAAGTACATATAGGTGACAGAAAGTTAGAAATGAGTGTATAGGAACTAACAGGTAGTAGATGCTACGTTGGTACCAGTCAGAGCGCCATTTCAGGTGGGCAGATTCTGGGCTGAGAACAGATCTCAAAAATACTTGGTTGAGAGAACTGGACAACTTTGAAGTTAGTGATATTAATGACAGTAAGGATCTGGCTAAGCCAAGTCAAGGCACAGTTGGAAGTATGTCCACTGGCAATCTCCTAAGGAGTGGCCCATGATATGTGCAAAGTTGGTGTGCCATGGTCCAGGCTGAGATGGTTCTCGTGTGTTCAGATGTTTAGCTGCTTCTTCATTCATTGCTTTGGTGTGTCCAATAAGCTTAAAGGTGGTAATTTTTTAAAAGCATGAATAAGTCCCTCATCAGGCTATGCTTTATCATGCTAGACAGATGGTAATTATTTATGAACAAGATGTTAAGTCATTCTGTCTCAGTATTTGTACCCAGCATTGAGTAACTGGGGACAAAACAGCTTCTCTAGACAAAATGGAATAACCAGAAAGCTGCTGATCTAGACAACATGATTTAAGATTGTTTGCTTGTTTGGTTAATAGTACTATTCAGTGCTATTAATGACTTTCTGGACCTTCTTGAATACAGATAGGAAATGGCAACAAAGTAAATGAAAATGAAAGCCAGAGGCAAGAGAAAGATGTGAGTGGAAGCTATAAAGAATATTTCAAACATCTTTCTCATTTACATCTACTTAGTGTTCTCTTGACTTCTCTTTCAGTGAAGTCTGTGTTGGGGACTGTGGTTCTCCAGAGGTAATGATTTGTGCCTTTCGGCCTTTGTGCTAAAGGTTATACTCCGGCTTCCCAAAGGAATCTACACTACTAGGAATGATAATGCTTTTTAAGAACCCATCTTTGTAGTTAAGTAATTGGGACTTGGTAGCTCTCATATGTAATGCCTAATGTCTAAGTTGATGGGAGGGTTTTGGCTGTAGAAGATTGTGTCCTCGGAAGTCTAAACTTCATTGAACTTATTTCAGCATTATACTCTTCCCTATCAATTTCACTAAATTAGTCTTCTTCTGCATTAACTTTATTAAGGTTTTGTTAAATCCTAAGTATTCATCTTCATGAACAAGCTGCTTATCTGTAGTATACTCAGCATTTGCATGAAACTAAAATATTTCAATTTGAGCAGCCTAGAATTTAGATATGCCATGTTTCTGAAAGCCACTGAGAGGAAAACCTGCTTACTTACAGTAAATCAAAGATGTTCAGAGTTGAACTAGTGCCCACTCAGTTTTTCTAAGACCAAGGTTGTAGTGAGGTAGTCCTTCTGTAGCACTGACCACGCCCGTTGGGGGGTGGAGCGATGGGCGGAGAGGACCTGAGGAAGGAGGTCAGAGGGGGCCAGGAAGGTGCTCTCTCTTTCTGGCGTGACTAGGACAGGAGAGGATCGGGTTGAATTTCCTGGTGTTCATCTGTCTAGGTTGTAAGTTATTTCTCCCTGAATAAACATCTATTTGGCCTATTTGTTTATCCTGATCCTTATTTACCACAATACAAGGTACACAAATTTTGTAGTCTAGACTAGAAATTTTAAAACCTGGTCCAAAATCAACATCAGCATCACCTGAAATCCTCTTAGAGATGCAGATGAGCTGGCCATTTTGAGCAGAGTGGTAAACTCTGTGGCTGAAACTAGCCTCTCATACTTACAAGTCCTTCAGGTAACTCTCATGCCATCTCAAGTTTGAGAATAATTGACATAGACAAACTTTTCCTCTCCCGATAGAACAGAGGATGCTGGGAAACTTACTCCTCACCTGGCAGTTCAAATTTACAGCCACTGCCTTTCTGCCTGAGTTCTATTAGACTGTAACCCTGAATGGTTTAATTGAAAAATCACTTATGCTTGTAGCTGAAATTAAATACTTTATATTTAAATAATTGCTTTTTACTAGAATTACATATGTTGAAAGTAGTTGGTTTTAACTGTGTTCTCTAAATATATTTATAAAAACTCATCTAGCAGTAGCTATTCAGAATAATGTGAAATGTTTTACATCAAATCTTGTTCTGTGTAATGGCTAATCAAAGAATATTTAAGGTAACTGTATGGATTTCTTGGCTCAATATGCAAAGCGACATTTTCAGATATTAATATTTAATGTGTTTGCATCTTAAAGGTGATTTTATGTAACCTTAAGTACTTGCAACTCCTAAAATCACCAAAGATTTTCAAAAACAGCATATATTAATGTTGGATCTTTCTTCATCCCCTATAGATGAGCTGAAATAAAGGTTGTTTGAAATGGATGTGGCTTTGGGGAACATTAGCAATGTGGATACTGTAATATTTAAGAAAAGGAAATAAGAGTTTTGTTTTAGTGAACATATATCAATGATTTTTGAAAAACAAAAACCAGAAGTTTTTTTCTGTGTTTCTTCTTAGATAACCAATAGGAAAAGTACTCACCAGTCTTCGTTGATGGACCTGGATGGTTCCTACTTGAGTGTAGCCAAACCACAAATCTACTGTCAGACCAAGGCAAGGCCTAAGTCAGCAACCCAGGTCTCAGTTTCAGAATCGCTAACGGCATTGAGGAATAATTCTTTGAAACCAATAATTCTTCATCATCAGAAAGAGGGTTTAGAGAGGATGTCATCAGAAACCAGAACAGGTGCTTCTGAATCTCCAGGGAGGAAACCAATAGATGCAGCCCCAATAGAAAAAGTCCTACCCTCAGAGGAGTTGAAGATAAAGGAATACCCACACCTTCCACACACTCCATCAAGTCATCACTGTGGTCATAAATGCTCTGAAAGTGAAAATTATGTTCATGAGAACTACCAGCCTGCAAACATGGCCCCTCAGTATTGTAAGACACATCCGGAATCATGCAGTCATTGTGGGCTTTCCTGGGCCCACATGCAAGGTAGAGTGACACTGCAACCCAGTGAAACTGATGCCAAAAAGCAACTCTCAGAAGATCGAAGGCAACAATTGATGCTTCAGAAAATGGAACTAGAAATTGAAAAGGAACGCCTTCAGCATCTTTTGGCCCAGCAAGAGACAAAGCTTCTCCTCAAACAGCAGCAGCTGCACCAATCCCGGCTGGATTACAACTGGTGAGTCCTGCCTCTTCTTTCAGCACTGTCTGTAGGTTGGAAAATACAGTTTCAAACACTGGTTTATACAGACCTCAGTTCACAAAGGTTCTTTAGCATCATGGCTTATTGGAGTATTTACCAACTATGACTGCAAGTAAACCTCTGTCTTATATGGAAGATATGCATGCAAGTATGTACATGGGTGCTTGTGCCTATAACACACATGTGGAGGCCAGACGAGGACTTCAGGTGTCTTTATCTGTCATTCTCTACCTTACTTCTTCAAGACAGAGTCTCTATTAAGTCAGAAGTTCACCGTTGCAACTAGGCTGGATGTACATTGAGCTTCTGGGATCCACCTGTCTAAACAGCCTCAATGCTAGGGTTACAAGCACATGTAATCATGCCTATCTGGGAATTTGAACTCAAGTCCTCTTCCTTGCACAGCAAGTTTTTTATCCACAGAACTATCTCCCAAGTTCCATTGCTAACTTTTATGAGACTTCAAATGTCATATGCTTTGCTATTTGATGTCACGATGGAGAGTTAGAAATTAAGTTAAATCCTATTATTTAAGAGTGTAGAATCAAATTATAAAGAAGTGTGCTTAGCTGTCATTATCCTACATACATGTCTTTCTGTCATCGTATAAAATAAACCATGAGACCCATTTAAATTTAATCCTTACTAATCCTGAACATAGTCTTATAACTTTATAACTAGCTCTAATGAACATGCCCACATTTACACTTTCTTCTTTTTCTATTAAAAATTATTTTCCGAAGTAAATTTTTAAGTTTTCATTATGTATATTTCATAGCATGCAGTAGTACATGACATAAGGACATTTTTATTCAAGTACATGTGGGCGTTGATCATATTTGCTCTGTACCTTCCTTGTTATTTTTTATTTTTATTGATGCCGGGTCCAATCACAGGGCCTTGGGGATGTTAGGCTAGTGTTCTGTCACTAAGAGATAGCCTCACTCTCATTGTTCTCCCCTTAATATTTACCTCCTTAGAGCAGTGTTTCGAAAGAGGAATTGGTCTTTTAATGTTACATACTATTCTGTATGGTTTTACATTCAGATGCATAAAGTTTACTGTTTAAGAAAAGTAGTAGTAAATCAGATATTATTTGAAATTCTAAAATGTGACATTTATATTCTTTTAAAAACACAACAAATTGAAGATTTTCCTTCCTTGCTTGTTGCCTTCTTGTTCACCATTCTTCTCTCTAGATTCTTATTAGATACACTCATCTCTATAATTCTAGCTTAGTTAAAAAAAAAAAAGACCTAAGAAATGGGAATTTTGAGAAAAACCTTGTATGCGTATGCATTTTTAGAGTATACATATTCATATTTACTTTTAAACTTTATTTTGAAATAATTGTAGGTTCATGAGTAGTTTTAAAAATATTACAAAGACCTTCCATATGAACTTCACCAGTGGCTATATGTTCCACAAGTAAACCAGTGACTTAGCATCAGTACAGTGTGTGTGATTATCTGCTGCCATTTTATTGAATGTCTAGTTTGCTAATATCACCACCACAAGAAAAACACAAAGCCATATTGTCACTACAAAGATTGTAGTATTTAGGGGGTTCTTAAACTATTTTTGAGGGGTTATCACTTTTTGAGCCCCATCCATGTTCTTCTCTTAAATGTCATGGACATAAATACAAAGTTTTTGTTATGGTCCCAGCAATCTGATGCCAGGAGTTTCTGCTGCTTTTATTTGCACTGTTGTTTCTCTTGTACTGTAGTCAAGTGTCTGACTCTCCTTTTTGGCCAATTAGTCTATTATTAACAATAACCTAGTTGGGTTTGTTTTCTTCCCAGTTTTGCTGATGATTTTTTTTTTCTTATGGGGTGAGCATGTTTCCAAAGTACAGTTTCTGCCTGGTTTTTATTTGTCTTCTGGTTCTTTTTAAAGATTTTTCTGTCTTTCAGTTTCTTTCAAGAGTATTCAGACTTGTTCTTTGAAGCATTTTTGTAATGCCTGCTCTAATATTCATTCTCGTTAGATATTTTTGCCATCTTTATTATTATTGTTGTTGATATGATGAATGGTTTTCATCTTTGTCCTGGGCATTTAGTTTGTAGCCTAAGTCACTGGGTGTTGCTTAAATCTTTCTCTGTAGGATACCTTCTCTAATACTGCTATGACAGAGGGCTTGGCTGCCTCATGAGAGCCCATAGAAAATAAAAGTCTGGCTTCCACTCCACCTTTGCTGGTGGGAACAGGGCAAGTGATGCCATCATGTGCTGCTGTGGTTAGCTAGAATAGAACAATGAAGTAGTTTTACTGTTTAAAAGCCTTCTACTTCTTTGACTAAATGGGGGAGGCTTTTTTTCCTCCATGCTTTTGAGGTTTCTAGGTCAGCAGTATTCTAGTATTTTAAGTGTGCAGACAAAAACAGAATCCTTGAAATGCACATCCTTCCTCTGCACCTGTCTACTAATGGCCAACCTGTCTTGTCTTTGTTTGCTTTGAAGTCAGCAGGGAGACTCACAGGCATCACAGCTGGGTAGGACTGTTGGTTGCCTCCCTCCTTTGGAAGCTTACTGACACTTTCTGGCACCATCAATGCCCTTAGGGAAGAGGCTTTCAGGTCAACCCCAGCTCTAGAGCCTCTGAACCATATTTCTGATGTGCATGGTTTCTTGAGTAATAGGAACTTGCCTTTGGGGGACACTCAAGGGAAACAGCAATGGCTGTATGTTTCTAGAGTCTTTTAGACAGTCCTGACCAAAAACTCTAAAGAGGGCTTCTCGCCTTCCATTTCTTAAACTCTAAAAGTTTCTGTCTTCTGGAAAACTCTACATGAGCTCCCTCATGGATTCATTCTCTCTATCCTAATTTTCTTTTTAAGCTGACTGCATTTATTTCCTGTATTGAGAATTACAGTCCTCAAATTATCAAATGATTTATTTAATCGATTCTCTTTCAGGGATGAGTATTACCCTAGGTAGTTGCTATCTGTACTCTTAGAAAATCATTAGTGTTTAACACTAGGGTATTTTCAATCCTGTTGATCAGGACTTGCAAAGTAAATACATACAAGCCATGAAACAACACCCAATCACAGTACTGTCTATCTTCAGGCTTTTGGTGTCTTAGGCATCCATTAAAGGCCTTTGGGTTCCATGAGTCTTAGCCATCACAGTTCTGTCATTTCATTTGTTGTTTGTAGCTCTTACTATAAAATAAAATTCTCCCAGGTCAAGACATTGGAAGCTTCAAGTGAGGTGCCCAGATAAAGAGTCAGTTAAGATAATGGGATGGAGGCTTTTGAGACAGATTCTGCCTCTGTGGTCCAAGCTAGATGTTTTCTGCTGCCTGCTCCCAAGTGCTGAGGTGACAGCTTTCACTACACCTGGCTGGAGATGTTTTTAACTAGAGGAGGGTCTCTCCTCCTGCTTTTCTACTATGGAAATCCTCTGATCACCCATGGTTAGCTGGAACAGAGCAGAAATCAGGGTCATGATTTGTCTGTTTAATCAGTATCTCAGTTCACATTTCTAGGCTGAAAATCAGTCTACTCTCTGGCCTACTTTTTAGATTCATGAAGTTCTATCACTTAAGAGATATCTGAAAGTCTGCCCAGTAGTGTCACGAACCAAAAATGTCTGTGGTAAATGAACTCTCCTAATACAGTGCTTTTATTTTCCACTTCTGAATTCTAAAACGGGTTATATTTTTTTTTTCTAGATTAGATAGTACCTATCATCCTAGTTTGGAAAGCTTTCTATAATTTGTCAACATCTCTGTACCCATTTGCCCATTTTTCCTAAGAATTTTTTTTTCTTAAAATTTGTCTTGTTGTAGCTCTTTTCCATATACTACTCATAGTTCTTTCTGAAGTCATACCTTCTCCTTTGGTTTAAATGTTTTGCTTTCCTTTTCAAATTATCTACACCTTCGTTAATTTTAGGTTTGGATTCTTTCTCACTAGCTCTTTAAGTTAGGGGATATATACAAAAGAGCACTATAGTATATTTTGTATTGTATAGTCGTCTATAATTCAGCTCAATTTTCACTGTTTCAGAAAAGTATTTCTGCCCAAATTATGTGGGAGGAATACCTAGTTGAATAAGACCTGTTCTCTTTTAGTGTTGTACAGTCTCATACACTAATTCATGCATAATATAAACTAATGTATATTTTTACTGAATTTGTAATTTAAGTGGACAAGTAACTCACTTCAATTACAGTAATAAGTTAATTCTTACTATGCATGTGGCATTATTTATGATGCTTAGAATATTCAGGAAATGTATTGGAAAGGTAATCAAATACCAAATGAGTAGCATAGAATTAAAGTAAAGTTGTTCAGAGTTTGGGGATGAGACTTTCCCCAAATGAATTTGGGAAGACACTAACACTTACCTAAATTCTGATTTGTAATTGATTCTGCCACCTTGAGATTACATAGTCAGTGCTTTCAGAAAGTCTTGCCCAAAGATTTATAAAGAATACAGTTGATTGCAGTGCCAAGAACAACCATGAATTCCCTTGGGAGTAAGAGTAAAGTAGTGCATTTGTAATGAGTAAAGTCAAAGCTGTTTGTAATATTTGTCTTTGTCTCTGGCATCTATAATATACATACTGTATATGTAGCTATGAAAAGTGAACCACCTTCACCACTTACAAACATTCCACCTTGGCCTGGTGGTGGTGGCACACACCTTTAATCCCAGCACTCAGGATGGATCTCTGAGTTTGAAGCCAGCCTGGTCTACAAAGCTACACAAAGAAACCCTGACTCAAAAACTCCAAAAAACAAAAATAAAAACAAGACAAAGAAACAGAAAAACATATCGCCTTGGGTAAGTATTATGCCCAGGCCTGCCCCACTTTCCTCTGTAAATACATATAGTAAAGTAATTACTTCCAGGGCCTCTGTGTGGATCAGTACAATAATGTATGTAAGAAACGTTCCATAAGTGGCTGATACTATTATCATCAACATTATCATTTCTACTGTTGCTGCAGAAGCTATTCTGACTGCTGTTATTACTGTTTTTCTACTCTTTTATCATAATTGCTTGATTTTAACATTTTACACCTGCATTTACTAACAACTTGCATGTCACTACAAAATAATAATACTGTAAATTCCATCTCTTTGTACATCACCATGTGTAGTTACAACTAAAAGAATGTCTTTTGATGGTGATGAATACTATGTTCATGTTTCTTGTACGAACACTTTATAGTTTTAGTTAATAGCTTCTCTTTGTTTCTTTGTTTTCTTGTCTGGTTGTTTGTTTGTTTTTGTTTGTTTGTTTGTTTATTTTTTGGAGACAGGCTTTCTCTATGTAACAGCTCCGACTGTCCTGGAACTTGCTTTGTAGACCAGGCTGACCTCAAACTTTCAGAGATCCACCTGATTCTGCCTCCCACATGCTGGTATTAAGGGTGTGCATCACCACCTACTGGCTTTTATTTCATAGTTAAAGAATATGCTTGTACATATTACCAGAAGACATTTTCTGAAAAACTGAAAGAATGGGTGTTAAGTATCACATATTTGTTGTCAGTGATTGATCCCTAAACTCTAGACAGAAGGTTTTTGTACTGATATTTTCAACAGCCTTCCCTTCTCAGTACATATGAGTATGGTCTTAATCTCAGTAGATACCATGTCTTAGGTTTTCTATTGTTGTGATAAAATACCATGAACAAAAAAAAGCAAGTTGGGATGAAAGGGTTTATTTTATCTTACATTTCCAGGTAATAGTACATTACTCATAGAAGTCAGGGCAAGAACTAAGCTAGGCAGGAACCAAAGCAGAACCCATGGAGGAACCCTGCTTGCTCATTATCTGCCTTGATCTTCCCTGCCCTCTTGTAGCACCAAGGATCACCAGGTTGAGGGGAACTAGCCATAGAATGCTGAACCCTTCATGTCAATCATTAATCAAGAAAGTAACCACACGCCAGTCTGGTCAGGGACATTCTCAATGGAGGTTCCCTTTTCCCAAATGACTGTAGCTTATGTCAAATTGACAAAAGAAATTAACCAGGACACCTAGTTCTATTTTTGTCGTGGTCTAAAGAAAATACATTGTCACTGTTTTCCCAGCTCTTTGAAATGTCAACATAAGAAGTTGGATACCTCCTAAATTTATGTTTTACAGAGTCAATAATACTTGAGAATTACAAGAGTCTTTCTTTAGACCTGGGTAACTTAAATGGCTTCTATTTAAAGTGTTTCCTCAAAAGGCCCATATGTTGAAGGCTCGGTCACAAGTGCAATGTTCAGAGATGGAGTTTAAGGGAAATGATTGGCTCATGAAGGCACTGGTCTAATCAAATAATTGATAATTCATAATTTGTGGCATTATTATGACTTGGTAAAAATCTACAAGGCAGGCCTGCTTGGAGGGATAGCTCACCAATGTGGCCCTTTGCTGGGTATTTCCTGGCCCTCTCTGATTCCAGGCTAACATGAAGTGAACAGCTTTCCTCTGCTATGCTCTTCTGCCTCACCCCAGGCTCACAAAAATAGAGCCAACCTACCATAAGATAAAACTTCAGAAACCATGAGTCCAATAAATCCTTCCTCCATTAATTTTCTTACTCAGGTATTTTTGTAACAGCAATGAGAATTGTGACAGCTAATATTGATTGTTGAGTTGGCAGGATCTAGAATCACATAAAACAAGCCTCGAGGCATGACTGTGAAGGATTATCCTGGTTAGGTGGATTGAGGTAAGAAGACCTAACTCTATGTGTGGGTACCTGGTTCTCTGAGCTCAGGTCCTAGATTACATAAGAAGGGGAAGGCTAGCTGGTCTGGCATTCATCTCCTTCTGCTTCCTGATGAGAAATGCAATGTGGCCAGCTGCCTCAAGCTCTTACTTTCAGGTCCTTCCCATTGTGATTGACTATACCATCAAATTGTGAGCCAAAACAAACCTTTACTTTCTCAGGCTTTTTTTGTCTAATGCTTTTTCACAGCAACTATAACAGTAACTAACACAATGAGCAAAACACTGAGCGGTGAATAGATGGAAGCTTTTACCTTTTAGAATTGAAACATAAAGTACTCCAAAAACATTTACAATTCTGAGTTTTGAAATTACATTCTAACAGCTCAATCTTCCCACATGCTCTAAAGAAAATCTAAAGTCCTATAAACTGATGGGCTTACTTAATTTGTGTTTAGGGTGTGTGTGTATGTGTGAGAGAGAGAGACTGTGTGAGACTCTGTGTGTGTGTGTGTGTGTGTGTGTGTGTGTGTGTGTGTGTGTGTGTGTATTGAGCCTGTCGGTGCTTTGGGGATTAAAAATTCTTAAATTTATTTTTACAGGTTAAGGACTCAAGCTATATTTAAGTCTCGAGAACTGGTTACTGATAAAAAATTTAATAAACCCCAAGAACTCGATCTCGATGTGAGTGGTAGTGACTCTGGACTAAGGTAAACATGAAGGTGGGGGAAGGAAAAATACTAAGGATATGCATACTTACAATGTGTTTGATATTGCTTATAGCTTTATGTTCATTATTAGCTTTTTTTCTTTTTTCTTTTTTTCTCTGTTGATAATGGTGGTATTCTTGGAGGCAAGGTCTCAACTGGCTCAGGCAGGCCTTGAACGGATTTGATATATGACCAAGGTCATCCTTGGACTTCTGGTCTTCCTACCTCTTCCACCAAGACACACAGGTCATGCCTGGTTCTTATTACTATTTTGGATCACTTAAAACTACATAAATGCATTCTCATTAGACAATTTTGAAAAAAATTGAAAAGAATAAAAAATTATTTACAATCCTACCTTCAGAAGCAATCTTTAAGCCACTTATTTTTTATTCATAATTGTTGTGTTCTGTATTGAGTAATAAAGATTATGCTTATACAGAATTTAATTTACTTGCTCTTTTCTGGTATCATTTAATACTTTGTAAAACTGTGTTGGTTTAGTCAGCAATTATTTATTGTGTAGCTACTGTATGCCTCAATGTTTCATATTTATCTGTTCTACATTTACAGCCATTTTAAAATTGATGCAATTTGATTACTGATCTTTTGTGATTCATTTTCTATGAAAACTATTTGGACCTTGTCTTTCTGTGAATTATCCTAAACACTAGTGCTATTGTACATTAGTTAGCCTTTTACACATCTATTTTGTACTGCGTAAACAATGTACTCCTACAGCTGGGAACTTTCTTCAGTCCAAAGAAATGTACTTTTTGCAGTCTATCAGGTCTATTTTTGTGTGGTCTCTTCCTGGTACTTGAGTTAAAATTCAGATGCCGAATTTTTTTAGAATTAACTTCCATTTCTTCTTTCTTCCTCCTCTCCTATTTTTACTATTCACCTTTATCTTTCTCTCTAGTTCCTAAGAAACTTTCTGAATTTTATCTATCAGTGCTTCTGTTGGATTTTATTATTGCTGTAATTTTTAATGTCAGAGAACCACTATTCTCCAAATGTGCCTTTAAAAAATATTTGCCCATTCTTGTTTTATATGTGTCATATTTCTCATAACTCTGAAGGTATTTATAGTGGTTTTGAAGCTGCTTCTGTTCCTGATACATTATTCTGTTTTCAATAAGTTCAAGTTTGTTTTGTCTACAAATTTCTAGTAAGCAACTATTATTTTTAAGCAAAAGCAGTAAACAGCTATTAAAAGCTTTCTGTATGTGTCAACAAAGCTTGTCAAATCCCGGGTTCCCTGTAGATTAGGTAGAAGCCAGTGGGGACTCCTCCCTGTTTCTGCCCATAGGTCTTTTTTCTTGGGTAGTCACTTTTCCTAAGGATAAATTGTATGACTTGCTGGGAAAATTGTATGGGAGCATTTATGAGCTAGGCTGCTGTTAGTCAGATTTTTATTACTATGATAAAATGCATTGAAAAAAAAAACTCTCACAGATGAAACTGTCATTTTTTGTTTTGTTTTGTTTTGTTTCAGAGATTTCAGTCTGTGGTGAGTTGACCTATTGTTTTTGGTTCTGTGGTGAGGCAGAATATCATGGTAGGAAACACTTGGAAGAATGAAGTTGTTTACCTCATGGTAGCCAGGAAGCAGAGAGTTTAGAGCAGTGTTACAATATCCCATTCAAGAGTGTACCCCCAGTGTTGTGCTCTACAGATCATCACCTAAAGCTACCACCAAGCAACTAGAAATCTCTCAGAACATTTAAGATATAAATTATACCAGCTGGCAATGTGAGGAGTTCTATGAAGGAGGAAGAGGCTTGCGATGTGAGCTTTCACCTAATACCCCTTTGAACTATTTGACCTTTTAGCCTCAACTGTATTTCAGACCCCCCCCCAAGTCTAGGGTCATTCTTATGCATTCATGTGCACATGGACATGTCTGTGACTGCATGCAGAGGCCAGAGGACAGTGTTGGGCACATCATTTCTCAGGCATCATCTACCTTGTCAATATAATATTGTTGTTAACCCTGAGAATGTCATGCAATGCATTTTAACATGTTCACCCTCCATTTCCCCCTTAATTTCTTCCATACCCATCTCCCATTTCCCTTGATTTTTGAGATAGCATCTCTCTGGCCTGGAACTTAACAAATAGGCTGGCCAGGGAGCCTCACCCACCTCCACTTCCCCAGTGCTGGAATTACAACCATCTGACACCTATCTGAGGATTGCCTTTTATTTGTTTATGCTTTTTGCGTTTTTTTTTAATTTTATTTAATTTTATATAACAGTCCAATTAAATGAAAACAAACATTTGTACACAATATTTGGGAATTTGGGTGTCGTTCTTTCCAAACTACTTCCTGCTGGTAAGGGGCGCTGTCTTGGGGGATTCGAAGAAGATTCCGATATCCTGGCTGTAGTCTGTAGGATTGTTTTGTCCAGCTGTTTTGAATGTAGGATCAGCTTGTACTCTGTTTCAGGCGGTCTGGCGTGATCAAACCACATTAGTCTGGAAGGAATCCACATCTTTTCATTTCTGTGGAAACAAAAATAGAAATCCTTTCCCCAGTAACTTGTCCTTCAACTTAAATTTTGGAGTCAAAGCATTTTTTTTTTTAGTTTAATATATTATTTTACATGTCGATCCCAGTTCCCTCTCCCTCCCTCCCTCCCTTGCTCCCTCCCCCCCAGCCCTCCCTCCCTCTTTCCTTCCCTTTTTACCCTCTCTGCCCTCTCACATGCACTCTAAACACCCTCCCCTCCCATCCCCCCACCCCAATTCCATATGTAGGGGAATGCCATCCAGTTGGGGTCATGTAGATCTGACAGGTCCTGTGAAGTAGGGACTAGGGCTTCTCTCCTGTCTCTAGATTAAGGCAGTTATCCCTCCATGGGGGATGTGTTCACAAAGTCCTTTTGTGAACCAGGGATACATCCTGGCTCCAGTGTCTGAAGTCTCTTTGACTGCTCAGTCCTTCTGGCTGAGACCCATAATCAGGGGGGCCTGAGTCAGTCCCATGCTGGCTTCCCAGCTATCAGTCTAGTGGCCATTAGCTCCTCCTTGTTCAGGTAAGCTGTCTCTATGTGTTTCTGCAGCATGGTCTTGTCCTCTCCATCTGCATCTGGGTTCTAGTTCGAATCAGTGTTTATGTATGGGTGTTTGATCCTGTTTTCAACAGGCATTAGTTGAGGGCTCCATGGAGAAGTTAGTTGTTGATCTCACTCTCCGGGAAGGGCATTTATGATAGCCTTTCCATGTAAGCTCAACTTGTTAGTTGGGAGCAGTCTTATAGTTCTCTCGACCTTTCTTTGTGTTCAATTTTATCTTCAAACCAATATTGGCTCCCTCTTTTATGTTCTCTCTGTCTCTGTCTCTCTCTCTCTCTCTTTCCTATCCTCTATTCCTAACCAGGCTCAATATTCCTGGTACATGGATGCTAAATAAAGATCAAGTGTTGTACTCACTGAGCATCTCGCCAGCCAGCAGTCACTTTTTCCACATTTCTGGAAGTAAACCTCCAGTCTTCACCACTAGATGGAGACAGAGAGACAAGGGCAGCTTGGTTTTGGTTTTTTTTTTTTTTTTTTTTTTTTTATACTTTGGCCACTTCCAGAAAGCTACTGGGAGATGGGCATTCTTTGTTTGTGATTTGTTTTCAGTGTGTTCCTGCCTGCACTAAGACTTTCAGGAATACTCTGGCCCTTTTCCTTCAGATTCATAGCAGTTTTTGATTTATTTTGGATAATTCATTTTAACTATATATGCTTTTCAGACTTCTAAACTTTGTGGCATCATTTACTTATTGTCATATTTCTACAGCTTGACAGGCTTCTGTCCTTCTCATTCTTTTACTGTTTTTTCAGAGAGGCTTCAGAAAAGAACAGAGTTGTGTTTGCAATCAGGCCAGTAAATTGGCTTTCTAATATTGATTTGAATAATTAAGCAACACTTGGAAATTTAATAAACATACATAATTAGCAATTTCCCATATCCAGATAAGATGAACATTTGTCTATATCCATTAGCACTTTGTATTTCTTCTTTATAGAATTTTTGTTCTCTGATTTTTTTTTTTTTTTTGGTAGGGGCATTACTGTTTTTAGTTGCTATGCTTTAGTTCCTTTTTTTGGAGGGAGGCACAGGAGGCACTATATAGACTTGGCTGATCTCAGACTCACTGTGTGGACCAGGCTTGCATGAAACACATGGAGGCCTATGCCTCCAAAGTGGTGAGATTAGAGGTGTGTGCCACCATGCCACCATACACAGCCTTCTTGTTACTTTTTCGTTTAAAATATTTTCCTATTATTATTTTTATATATGTTTGTATATACATATATGTTTGTCTTTACTTATATGTGGCATAAGAAACAAATGCTAGCAAGTCAAAACAAGAACATTAAAAAACCTGTAATCTCATCATCTAGGTGTAATATATAATTTCTATATCTGATAAATCAGTGTGCTTTATATATTAATAATGTATCATGTTTCAAAATCTATTAAATTCAAATCATTAAATATTTTAACCTTCATTAACATTTAAAATTAATAACTTTATCTTACAAATAGTAAGATACTCTCTTTTAAAAAAATAAACTGAGGCATATCTAGAAAATATTAGTCTCCCTTTGTTCCTTATGTCACTACCTATCCTGTTTTGGTTGGATCAGTTATTGATACCTTGACAAACCTAATCCTTTCTTCATGATTATAGACCAGAACTTATATACACTTCAGATCAATCTGAACACATCAGGCCTTCCCGAACCATATAGTATTTAATGCTTATCAAGTTTTTAGATAAACAGCTGTAGTAAGGGGTTGGTAACTGGCTCTGTGCGTAAAGATATTTGCTTCCAAGACTGAGGGCATGGTGGAGGGCAGAACCAATTCCTGAAAGCATCCTCTACCTACCACACACTCACTGTGGCATGCACACTCTCTCTAAACAAGCAAACATGTAAACAGAATAAATTTCTCCCAAAGGTGTTCTGCTCAAGATCCCTGGAACCTCTGAATCTATT